TGCTGCCATGGACAGAAGAACCCAAGGGAAAAAACTGAAGACGATCACCAGGAAAAACAGGCCCACATCCGCCATGAGGTCCTTGCCAAACGCATCCAAGAACAGCTGAAAGTTCGCTGTGCTTACGTCAGTGACCAGCACGGAAGTGATGTGGACCAGGGTGAAGTGAAAAAAGATGACGATGCTGTACATCATGCTGTAGACCAGGCACGCCAGCTTGAACCATGATGTCGGCATCCCGTCTGCATCCCATTCTAGCTCCACCCCAATGGATACCGACGTGGGCAGGACCGTGGCAAGCAGGAGGAGGGTCAGCAAGTTGTAGCTGTCCAGCTGTGTCATTAAAGCTTCGCGCACTGCATCCGGAGACCTACCTGACATTGCCAAGTGCTCGAACCAAGGTTTCTTGTGATCCGCAAAAACCACACTATCTATCCTGGCCGCGACTTGCTTCACTCGGCCCCACGCGGACCGGGGCTTGCTTCGGCAGCAGTCTGGGGATATCTCCGGCAATGGTCTTCGGAGTTCATGCCAGCACGACTCCTTTTTCATCTCCGTGGTTCCCGACGGGGAAGCCAGCTTCGACAACAGGCCAAGCACCTTTGCACGCTCCACGGTGCTCTCAAGACCAAGCTCTCGAAGACCCTCGTGGTCCAGAAAAGGCAATGCACAGCCCGACACGCCCGCGCGCAGTGCGGCTTCGCCGACACGCGCATAGCCCACCTCTGTCAGCCAGTCTCTCACCGACTCTGGCGTCCAGTCATCCATGACGCCCTCGCTGGGCTTTGCAGACTTGGGGCGAGCGCGTTGCATATCCCGCCGGCTATGAGCCTCCACCACCACCGCGTTTCCAAACCACATGTCGCTACGCGGCCGGGAGATGCCCTACATACATGTGGGTTGTGTGTTTATGTTTCGCTAACTATGTGGGCGTGCATGTGCATTTGTTTTGCCCGAGATGCCTACCGGGATCAACGGTAGTAGCCCCAAACATGCTGCAAGGCTACCCAAAATTGTCAACGCACCGTGCAGAAGCATGTATCCGCTGACTGCTGTGCTGAGACGGGAGCTTGGGCCGTTGGGCGTAGGGCTGAACGGGTGGAGGCTCAAGCTCAAAGCTACTGCCTACCAACTGGTGCAAGAATCTTCATCAACAAGAAGACTACAGTTTGGTTCACATCTCGGTCTTTGGCCTTTGACTAATACCCAGGACCATCAAAATCAACATGCTAGGAGACGCTGTCCATGACAAGAAGCTTTACTTTAGTTCAAGAACGCATCGTCTCGGGAATTGACAGACATGTACCCCACAGCCAAGAGTTGGTCAACCAGCAGACGTCTGCATTCCCCAACTCGATACGGTGGAGGAATCGCAGACTCCCAAGAGCCCTCTATAGCGCTCTTCTTTTCTTCTCGCGAAGATCTTCAGACTTGTCTCTTCTTGGAAGTACAAGTGTGTCCTCCAACCTTGCACTCTGGTGCAAGCTCGGAAAAGCGTCCGATTCCGGGAGGAGCCCCAGTGCGACAGGAGCTACACCACTGCTGAAACGACGTTGCGTCTCTATCACGAAGCACGGTCTAAAGGACAGCTTTGTCCACCTGTTCAACTACCTCTTCTGCCTCGGACTCGGAGTGATCGGGCTCCGCAGAGGATTGCTGCATGGACTCCATGGCACGCTGCGAAAGAGCTTCAAGCAGAGAGCGACGGTCCCTTGGAACTCCCTGCATGTCTACCGGAGCCACACTCATCAGTCCACAATGCAACGTAAGCCTTAGCAGTGGGCGAAGGTTCAGGAGTGCACAATCGGCTACCCGTGGCCTCTGACCCGAGTCATCCTTGCCAAGACGATTAGCTGCAAAGAACAGCAGAAAAAGAACCGGCAACAAGCCGCTCGGAAATACAACAGCCCACACCGTCCAATGTGCAGATTCAGCAATCACTGCTGCCATGGACAGAAGAACCCAAGCGAAAAAGTTGTAGTACACCACCAGGAAGTATATGCCCACATCCGCCATGAGGTCCTTGCCAAACGCATCCAAGAACAGTTGAAAGTTCGCTGTGCTTACGTCAGCGACCAGCACGGAAGTGATGTGATTCAGGGAAAAGTGAAAGAAGATCACGATGCTGTACATCACGCTGTAGACCAAACAAGCCAGCTTGAACCGTGATGTCGGCATCCCATCTGCATCCCACTTTAACTCAACCCCGATGGATACCGAAGTGGGCAGGACCGTGGCAAGTAGGAGGAGGGTCAGCAAATTGTAGCTGTCCAGCTGTGCCATTAAAGCTTCGCGCACTGCATCCGGAGACCTACCTGACATTGCCAAGTGCTCGAACCAAGGTTTCTTGTGATCTGCCCACGCCACGCTATCTATCCTGGCCGCGACTTGCTTCACCTGGCCCCACGCGGAACGGGGCTTGCTTCGGCAGCAGTCTGGGGATATCTCCGGCAATGGTCTTCGGAGTTCATGCCAGCACGACTCCTTTTTCATCTCCGTGGTTCCCGACTGTGAAGCCAGCTTCGACAACAGGCCAAGCACCTTTGCACGCTCCACAGTGCTCTCAAGACCAAGCTCTCGAAGACCCTCGTGGCCCAGAAAAGGCAATGCACAGCCCGACACGCCCGCGCGCAGTGCGGCTTCGCCGACACGCGCATAGCCCACCTCTGTCAGCCAGTCTCTCACCGATTCTGGCGTCCAGTCATCCATGACGCCCTCGCTGGGCTTTGCAGACTTGGGGCGAGCGCGTTGCATACCATGCCGGCGCTGGCTATGTGCCTCCACCACCAGTGCACGGCCAGACATGGCGACCAAAACAGGAGCGGATTCTACGCATTGACTTGCCGGACGTCTTACTGTTGCGAACATGCGTACGTTTCTGTTTGCACACTACTTGCTTACAAATGTAATTCTCTGTTCGCGTAGGTTTAACGCCTGAACGTAGCACGTACGCATGCCAATGTCACTGGGTGCCAAGCATGCCGACACAAAGAGTTCCTGCTTCGGCGCTGAACGAACCAGGCCGACAAGAGGATGCATGCCCTGGCTCCCAGGACTTACTGGCCGGTTGTCGAGTTCACAACCTCCACTTGGTGGTTTTTGGTGGTAAGTTTAGCCAATAATATCAGGTGCTCATACCATGTCACTGGCGGGCAACTTCAGGGTAGAACCTGGACAAGACGCAGGCACAGAAGCTGTGTCGCCAACTCTCCGTCTTTGGCGAAGGCAGTACATGCTCAGCCTCAACTTGCAGCAGGTGTTGTTCAACATATGTATGTACATGTATATGTTCAAGTATATATGTACATGTATATGCATATGAATATGCATCTGTAGATGTAGATGTAGCTGTAAGTGTATGTAAGGTATGTCAAGCCAGTAAGTAAGTGCGTAAGTAAGTAAGGAAGTAAGTATGTATGTGTGTGATATACATACCAGACATTTCCATGCACAACAGTTAGTCTACAATATGTATATAATATAAAGTATGCAGCGCATAGTATCTTCTACCGGAGACGTGCGAGAGCCCAACCAGACTCGAAGCACACTGCCTGATGCTAAACCCAAACTCAGAGCCTCATCCTATGCAGTAATGCACTTTAAGTAATGCACGTTAGTATACTGAAATATACTACGGCATACAATAGTATACTTTGACATAGTACTGTTTACTGGTCTTTGCTGTTACATACCACTAGGGACGAATATAAAAATACGCCTCTATACTTATATATATATATATCTATATATATATATTAATTACTATGTATATGTATGTGTATATATATATATGTAGGTATGTATATTATATATATATATATGTGTGTGTGTGTGTAAAGTATACAATATACTACAACTGTCTGCAGCAATCTCCAAGGGCCACACCGTCTCAAGGCCTCAGGTGCTTCGTGTCTACACAAGCGATTCACATCACAGGAAGTTAAAGGATCCCGCAAGTCTTAGGGTTATTAAGGTTTCAGAAGGTGCCAAGACTGGGCTATACCAGTGTTTGGCTCGTTCTTCAAGGTGGTCCCTGTGGCGAGGTTTAGGGTTTCGGAGTAAGCGGATCTATTTGCGCTGCGCTCTCACAACTCGGACTCGGCCGGTAATCAATTTGAAGACAGCGCACGCAGTTATGTCTCACCCCAAGCAATGACAACCTTGCAACGCAAGCCCTGCTGCGCGCTCAGACGTGCACTAGCTAGTCCCTCTTGCAGGTGTCCCAGACAACACTTTTATGTGCCCTCATAAATGGCCCATAAAGACATAGCCAAAAAACAAGTGCCTGGCGTTTCCGACTCCCACACTCGCACAACGCCGGCAAGGCTCCGCATAGTTCTGTCTACGCTGCACAGAGACAGAGAGAGAGAGAGAGAGACAGAGAGACCCACTGCACCAAGGCTGCCTGGCGTTTACGGCTGGCGGCTAGACAATAGCTGGAAGATTACAATCCGAGCACGACCTATGCTTCGCTTCCATTTGGCGTCAAAACCGCAACCTCATCCGTTGTATTTTGTGCGTGTCAAGAAGAAAAGAAGCCCAAGGCCGAGACAACGCAAACCCCAATAAAGCTTATACGCCCGTCGCCAAGTCATGAACCGCCAGCCGCCAGCACCAAGGGCCCCAATCTTTGGGGCTCTCCGGACTAGGTCCCTTGCGCAGCTCGGCAAAAAGCTGGGCGGCGCTCTCCTGAGCGCTTCGTGAATACAGGCATGGTCTCGGCATCTTGGACGGGCTGCAGATGAGAGGGGAGGAGATGGGAGGAGTGGGTAGACAGGGGGGGAAGGGGGGCAGGGAGTGAGAGAGAAAAAGATGCCACAGCCGAAGTGTGGCTGGAGAGGTCTGTAACTACACGCCTTCGAACATGTGTGCAAGCGTGCTCATATACACAGATTGATTTGGTTGCGAAGTCTGATGTATGCGTACACCCGCTTCGCCTAGACTCGGCTATCCCAGCAAACAACAGCACATCATGTATTCCCTGCATGCTGGATGGCTGCATTGCCCCTTTCCCCGCAAAGCCCAGCGGCAGCATCTCGGAAGCTCAGTGCATAGTCTGTCTGCTGCCTCGGTGGCGAATATCAGCTTTGATTCATATCAGGATCCGTCCCAGACAAACCAGGTCGGATCTGCGTAGCAGTCGTAGCACTCACACAGTGTGACAAAGGCAAAGGGCAACATCTCCCACTGAAGTGGGGAAGCAGTCATGAATGTTCCATGTGCTGCGGCAGTTGAGGTGAGCGTTGGCGGGCATGAGTTGGGAAGTGAAGCCGGCTGACCGCCAATGATGCAAGCGCTTCTGTTGCCGGGATCAGCAGATGTCTGGAAGGTTGGCTTCTAAGCAGTTCAGAATCAGAAGGCTGCTGCAGAGTGCCGGCAAGCTCCGTCTACTCCAGTGGACCCAATGATCTGAGCGCCCATCTCCACGTCTTCCCACACCTAAGACAAGCTACAGAGTTTCAGACGGCCTGTCTGCGAAAGCCCCCTGTCCTTCATCTCATGCGTGATTACTGGCTCAAGCCCGGCAATCTCTCGGAGCAGCAAGGATCGCTCATGGCCGCTATTCCGCTCAGTGTGCCAAGCCGCTCCCAAGAATTCCGCAAACCCAGCTGCAACCCTTGCAAGCGACCGATTATCCCAAACATCAGAGAAAAGTTATCACAAAGCCGAAACGAAACCGATCAGTGGGATCCAGCTGTCGGGGCCCGGCGACGATGGATTTTACAGCATCGTCCCCCTGCCATCACGAACTTTTTGGGCCTGTTAACATTAATAATGGAGATCCTGCAGGCTTCATACCCACACTCCATACAGTACTGGACGAAACTGCATCCGTCTTGCGGTATGGTGATGCCGCCTCGGTGGTTGTTGTGCTGTGGGGGTGGGGCGGCAGCCGGCATGCAACAACATCACAAGGCAGCGAGAAGGACACCACCGCCACCACCGCCACCAGCAGCACCAGCACCAGCAGCACCAGCAGCACCAGCAGCAGCACCACAACCCACAACCACACTGCTCCCCAAAGCCCAGCTCATGGTTCAGTCAGGGCCTGTAGTCGATAGCTCTCTGGTGGCAGGGCAGGCCGGTCCTCGGCGACATCTGGGATGAAAATCGAAGGACTTGGAATTCCTGTGAAGAAGCGAGAGCCCATGCAGAAGGCACCCAAGCACAGGCAGTCAAAAGAGGCTTCTTAGAAAGATCGAGGATAGAGACTAGACAGGCAGGTGGGTCTCGCAGTCAGAAACTTGGACGATCCGCCATTATCTTCTCAGCCTTCGAAGAAACTCCACGTCTCGTGCAAGTTCAAGCTGCATGGCGCTCTAGCCTTTGAATTTTCCAAGCACTTCGCTCGTGAGGATTGTCCTCCTACATAACAAATCTGTGGAACAGCACAGTTACCCAACAGTGTGCAATAAGCACAGCACACAACACGCATCACATTACCACTACTGGATCGGGACACCCGTTGGCACTCATGTTGATCAACCAAATCTCAGCTGACCAAGAAAACTTCCCAGCCTGTAACTCCTTTGCACATACGCAATAGGGTAAGTAGTTGCCTACCAAGCCCGAGATCCGCACGTAGAGAAGCACCTCGCCGGCTTCGTCGTGCACTTGAAGCCTCTTGTCTCGTGCAGCCTGGCAAAAGCAGCTACATCTGCTTCTTTGCTTGCACAGTGCTCTCCAACACTGCAGTAGGACTGCGCTCCGAGCCATGGGCGGCATTAACCGAGGCCCGCCCAGTTCCTCTGTCCTGGCATCGAAACGGCAGGGCAGTCGGGACCTGATCCTTCGGTTCGCATGATCTTTGACCTGGTCATCTCGACAACAAAATGAGCAGGCCGAGTGCAGTACCGCCTAACACGAACCTCAAGTTTTGCCCACGCCTCCCAGGCGTCCTCACCTCGTGTTGGGAGCTCTGTGAAAGATCTCTAGAGTAGGTTCTGATTTCAGCCCAAGTTCGAGAGCTGTGTCTCAAGAGGGATGAGTTCCTGCTGGGACTATGAAGCAGCAGTTGAGACCCCTCCTCGTGGCTGCACCCCTGTGACGAAAACATTGATATAATTTGCAACATTTTGCAACACATGTCTGCGTCCCGGAATCAAAGCAATCACATCCCCAATCGGAGTGTTCATGCCTCTACATGTAGGCAGGAGGAAAGTTATCTTCAGAACACCTAGCGCAGAAGGCTCGAAATTGTTGAACCGAGGACCGTGCAGAGCACATAGAGCTTGCCTGAGAAATCACTTCGAGTTCGATGACTGAACGATGTTAACTTGAAGTTCTAAACTGTGCTGACTGCGGATGTCTCGGAATGCGTGTGGCACGACTCCGAGCGTGTCAAACACTTTCAATGCCCTTTTTGGCCGAGCTGCATAGGCCCAGCACCTTCTTCTCGGCCCTGAGCACCACAAGTCTTTGATTCTGGAACTTGCAGGCTCTTGGCTACTGCTAGGAAGTGCTGCTCATAGACAACTTGGACTCAGTCCCATCCAATACTAGGGCCCCCAACCACACAAGCACTCACACGCCCAAGCTGATACCGAAGCTGGGGTCACGGCTCCTCGGAACCCGATGGGGCCAGGACCGACATGGGACAAGGGCATGTCAAGTCAAAAGTGTCGGCCTGCTTGAAAGCTTTCGGGCGTCAGCTGTGCACTGTAGAATGGAAATTGTTCAGCGAAGGCCTTCAAACGACCTTTTCAGGGCTGCGAGTCTGGAAAACTTCGGCTAGTGCGGAGGAGCGACCACCGCATGGCTGAGTCAAGGGCGAAGGGTGCTGGGAGTAAGCAGATGTGGTCTTG